CGTTAGGCAGTGTTGTGTGGGCAAAGATTTCAAATTAGAACAAGAAGAAACATTTTTTATCAATAAAAAAGGCGAGTTTAATGATTTTATAGGTATCATTTACTTTGTAAAGTATTTTCTTGGCCTGAGAGGTCAACGTTATCACTTAGCGTCACGTCTAAGCATAGCACGTTTGATTTTATCAGTGAAATCAAGGACTCTTTTAAAACGTTCATTGCTATATATTAATTACATGACCTTTTAGGTCAAGTTTATTTTAGTCTCAAGAGAGTTTGGATATTTTGAACTAGACGCTCTTATTAGGCCGTGAGTTCGGCTATTTTGGAGAAAAATTAAGAAATATATAATTTAATCTAATTTTTATATTTTATGTAATATCCTCCTGTTTTTCTCAAATTTCATTTGCATTCATAATATAATCATATGATTAAACAGAATATAACATCATAATCTTTTCACTCGTGTCTATCAATTTTCAAAAATAGCTAGTCCGACTTCACGCCCCAGGGCGTCTAGTTTTACAGAAAAACGAAACAAAGTTCAGAATTGGTCGAGTTCAACCTCATACCCAGGCTCTTATCGCCAAGCGAGTGGATAAGAGTTTGGGAACGAGGTTGGATGTACTTAAACAGGTCACTGATGTACGTACAGAAGGCCTCTCATGTACATAATATGTGGAGAAGAACTTAGTAAAGTATCAAAGACTAAGCCTAAACGGCGAGTATGAGGATTCGAACCTGGCACTATTTATGACCTAACCCTATATTGTCCTAAGCCTTACCTTCAAGCCAAGAGATTAGTTCTCTTGGATGACCTTGATTTTGTGGGATTCAACGGCACGTGTACTGAGTACATACGATTGTATACATAATTAATGAAGCTTCATATATACATAAGAGGCCTTCTGTTCTGTACGCACATAAGCGGCTCTGAATAAGTACATCAATATATGGAAGGAAGACGAGAGATCCTATTTTCAGACCTAAGGTATGCATATTGGGGCCAGCAATATGAAATCCCATCGGCTGAAAGCACAGCCTAAGCTTAGCACATCTCGCTCTTTTATCGTAGTTTTGCCTATCCCAAATGTGATTCACGTGATCTTGATAAAGCAAATGGTTTTCTTCTTTCAGTTGGTTGGACAAAATTCAAGTCATTTGCTTATAAATACATTAGTGATAAAGTCRATGCTGCAACTGCTCGACAGCGGTGTCGTGAATTGGCAGAAGGCGCAGATYTGGTTTCCATTAGCAACGCTGAAGAGCAACAGTTCGTTGTTAATCTCTTCAAAGGTACGTTTATTGTTAATGAGTGCATTTGCCTTACGGGATAGGGAAGATATCGTGTCCGTGTGGAAAATGTACGGACAACGCGCGGTCCTGGACTCCTCACTCGGTTATTGGTGGCCAATATAGGCAAATAGATTCCACTAGTAAGTCATACTACACTACACTCGTATCTATTGGTGG